TTTCCCTAAGTCTTTATAAAAAATATGTTTAAATTATAAATGTTGGTTACAGTAGTTATACAATAAGCTCAAATTTAACTATATTATTAATATAGTTTAATAGTAATATTAAACTATATTTTTAAAAATATAATTTTGGAACTAAAACATTTACTAAAGTGTGATATTTAGCCTCTGTGCTACTGATTATCTGACGACAAAACACAAGATCAAACACAAGAGCTGCAAGAATTGGTCGAATAACTATACAATACATGAGTTAATGCAGAGTTGTGGCACGGCCACATTCATTTTGTAACAATGAACCACAGAAAGTGTTTCCAAAATCTGCGGTGAAAATTTCAGCCTGAATGAGGACACAGCAGAGACAAGAGAGAAGAGAAACCAAACCTGTGAAGGTATGTCAGCACTTCACCAAAAACACACCACATTAGAGCAAAGATAATGACAAATCACTGAGTCGTGATTTCACAGCAGGAGTACAAGAAAGAACGAAAAGAAAACCATAATCAGAGACTTTGAACATTGAAGCACAGCCATTTGGTTGGAGGAAGCAAAGGATCACCTGGTTCAACTGAAGCGCAGCCATTTGATTGGAGGAAGCAAAGGATCACCTGGTTCAACTGCTAATGATCTGTGTGTGAACCAAATAAACCAAACCTTAGTTTAGTTTATGTACTTGATACGTGAACCTCACGGAGCTCCGACACTTCTGTCCAAACTACAGACACCAATCACATCACAGGACAAGAGCTAAAAGGATTTAGACTGACTGGGAATTTTCTTTTGACAGTTTAAAGCTAACCGATAGCTTGGCTAACTTAAAGCTAACTTCTTGGCTAGGTTTCAGAAATTTAAGATGTATTTCAAGTTAACTATAAATTATTCCCATGGTAAGTTTTAGTTGTCTTAAAGCTTGCTTGTATCCTTTCCCCATTTTTAATCTAAATTATATGGGGGTTTTGTGTGTGAAGCTTCTTGTTAACGGAATAGCAAATATGGATAGGCAGCTAACTTAGCTAACTTTCCGTTACCTCTGGACAACCGTTAAGTTACTTTTTTTTAAATTAATTTAGATATCTCATGGCTAATTGTTATTATTTTGGTTACATCCTTGAGAAACTTACTGGTGTAGCCAACCCTGTGTAGAAACTTTAACATCTTGGCTAATCCATGGCTAATCCCCAGCTCGTTTTGACACAATATCTATGGTCTAACCCAGGTGTATTGTGGGACAATATTTATTTCTGTTGTCTAACTTTTTGCCATTTGGATTAACCTTTAACTTAAATTTGTTAACCGACGCTTTGCTAACTGTAACTAAAATTTGAGTAAAGCTATTTATCTCTCCATAACACTGACATTCCGCTTTGCTAACTGTAACTAAAATCTGGGTAAGACTATTTATCTCTCCATAACACTGACATTTGGTAAGGCTATTTATCTCTCCATAACATTGACATTTTAACAACAAGATACAGAGCAGGAGTGAGGAACACAGTAAGAAGAGATATAAAAGAAGACAAAAGGAATTCTTTTGAAACTACACATGTGCAGCTTCAGTTTGAACACAGAAATCCCTGCAACCTCCAGCAGCACATGGTGAGAGCACAACATTTTCACCCAACATATTCAATGGTCCGAGTCATTCGAATACAACTGTGACTTAGCGTTAATGTTTGATATTATCAATGTGTTATTTTATGGTGTGTGTGTGTGTGTGTGTGTGTTGTACCACTGTCTTATGTATCTTGCCTCCTCAAAGCCTGTTAGACTCAAATCAAACTGTGATGTCACTGGGCTATAAATAGATTTGGCCACTGGTTTCTCATATTAAACACCAGAGAACTATTGTCAATGGACATTTAGACGCATGCTGAGATTTCTCATGCACAGACGGAGCAACGGCGAAACCTGCTAACACACTGTTTGAGGTAAAAACACACTGCTGAAGCTAAGAGTGTGTCGATGTGGGTCCTGTACCAGCTGTGGATCCAGGAGTAATCAAACGGCACCAGACGGAACGCACAAAAAAACAAAAAAACAATTGCTTTGGTTCAACGGTGAAGCCATGATCATATTTAGATGTTCCACTGTTTTTTGTCTACTATTAAAATGTTAGACAATATGAGTGAAATGTCCAAAGTCTGGTTCTTGTCATGGCGTCTGCACAGGTTTCCTGTTGCCCATTATGTCTTTGTTGAACGTATTTTAAAAATTCTTATATATTGTGTAAAAAGTGTAAAACGTGATTTAATGTGTTCCTCAGTTTTAGATTCATTTTGAGTAGATTTGTTGTTGTTGTTTGACTGAGATTGGGATTTCTTTTGGCAATTTTTGCTTTATGTTTAATGTATTTTGGACTCTTTAGTTTTTTATTTCTGTGTTTTTATTTACTGTGTTGGTGCTGTTTCTGCTGTGAGAACAATCTGATCTGATGTCTATCAATTCACTTCAACTTGTTTAAAAAAAACAACATTTTACTACTATTTTTCTCGTACTATTTTTTTACTCAAATGTACCTACTTGTATATTTACTGCTGTGGACTTTTTTTATTTATTTTTTTTAATCTACATTTGATTTTTAAATAAATTGTACAAATACTGTGTAATCTGCACACAATTATATTACGTATGAGTCATTTTGCTCTTTAATCCAAAAACGAGTTATTCTTCATATCAACAGAGATCATGTTATAATAGAATGACATTTTGACAATGTTGGGACAGGTGTCAGCTGTTTGGTGGAAGAATGACAACATCATACCTCCTGTATAATGCACTCGTTGTTTGATCCCTGTCATTTTGAACAGACAAAACAACGACGTTGTCATAGAGAAGACAAACGTTTGAGTTTTGTCAAAGTCATACGTTAAACGTGTTCCACGTGTAGCTTTGAGAATCTTTCTCATCTCAAACTACACCTACAGAACTGCCAGTGTAATTAACACACACACACACACACACACATTAAAAACGAACTCCACGCATCATAATATTTCTACAGGACCCAACACGTAAACACACACACACACACACACAGAAACATCGGTAGGTTCCATTTTGCCGTCGTTTTTTTTTTTTTTTTTTTTTTTGGGCAAAGAACAGGAAACATCGACAGGAAACATCGTCATGACACAACATGACACATTAATCCACCGTAATTACCGAGAACGTCTCAAATTACGCAGGGGCTGAATGACCACGAGCACCTGAACGCACCACCAAATGCTTTTGGGAAAAGATGGATGGAAGCGTCCACTGTGAAATTACAGTATGTTGTGGGTACTGTCACAACTAGTCAACAACAACAACAACAACAACAACAACAACAACAACAACAGCAGCAGCAGCATGTATTTACTCCTCACACTTGACTTACAGTTTCACTATAAGATAAAATGTGATTTTTGTCTCGTCCAGGAATTGGATTAAGTGAATAATTCCCAGTTTTTGGACATAAATTCTAAGTCATGTCTTGGAGGTGGAACAAGGAGGAGCCCATAAACGCAGACATTATTTCAGACCCATTCATATTGACCATATCACGTGGCTTAAAAGCAACAGATCGACCAATAGTTCTGTTCAAACTCAAGTTAGGTTTTTACTCTACAGCCATGAAGGCGATACAGAAAACAAGGACCAGAAGGACTAACGTGACGTGGACGTGTGGACTGGACACATTAACATGACAGTGAGAGGTGGACATCGAGGCTACGGGGGACATTAAATCTCCTGTCCCCTGACACTGACTAAAAAAAACTGAACCACAGCTCGTGTTAAACTCACACCTGCTCAGACAGACGGTTATTATCGCTGTATCGTTGTCACAACCGCAGTGGGAAAGTTCGAAAACAATCAAATGCCTGATTCAACATGGGGTTTGAAAATCTAACCCTAAAGAAGGGAATCATGTGTGTGGAAGATGGAGAGATGAGATGAGACGTTCACGGTCCGATCCTTCTCCACCCTGATCATTTCACAGACCTTGTCACAACAAGATTAAAACCGGATTCTGGTCTGATCAACAATAATATCGTGGTGATAATCGCCCCCTTCACGGGCACAATTTAAGATCACACATTAATTGGTACCAACAATTAATGACGTGCAAATTACAGAGCACAATTACGCAGGACTTTTGAATGTGTTTGCCCCTCGTGAAACATAACTTTACTTTCACTACTGACCTTAGAAAAGCACAAATATGACGTGTGTATTTATGTTAAAAGGGAGAAAAAAAATCTTCAGCACAAAAACTGACATAAGTCCCGCTGACGCACAAGTCTTATAATCCTCATGCGCAAAATGCAATTTAAAGGGTGATTGTGTTTTACGTCATTCTCGTTCTCAAACACGTCTCCGGCCGTGCAATTACCTGTCTCAGGGTGAGGACGTGTGAGAGGACAAGAGGCGGGAGGAGGAGGTCGATCGATGTCCCCCTATCTCGTTGCACAGTCCCAGGTGGAAACGTCCAAATGTGTGGGTCCCAGTCCCTCCATTTACCACGCACCAGCAGGAGGTTCCAGTCCAGCAGCAGCAGCAGCAGCAGCAGCAGCAGCAGCAGCAGTGAGGACTATTTCCATATTGGTCCCTTTAGTGTGACGTGTCCCACCTGCATCACAAAAGACAAGATAAACATGGTTTGAAAAGTAATCTTTTTTTAACACCCATATGTCTGTCTCTGTCTCTGTCTCTGTGTCTGTCTGCCTGAAGGACATTTGACAGTGAGGTCATTAAGGACGGGGTGTTAAGTGAGACGGATCTGAGGGAAACACGGCGTCGTGCAGCTGCAGAACCAAAACTTCAGCCAAGTGAGAAAAAAAAGTGTTTTTTACGCACAAGAAACGTGGAAACACAAAGGAAAGTGACGTCACACAATAACACCCGACAGATCAGGTGTGAGGTGTGTGGTGTCATCAAACAAATTATGTCACAAGTTATGTCACTTTATAAAACACATACACACACACACACACTACTTTATAAAACACACACACACACACACACCACAGCGTGGTGACTCTACGGTGGCTGAGGTCACACTGGTGCTGTTTCCTTTAAAGATGGAAAAAGAAGTTGTTTTTCAAATGTATGAGTGTGTGATCGGTTTATACAGAACTTTCCTTCTGAAGGTTTACTACAAAATGAGGGAGTTTTGGAAACCGGGTCCTTTACGCACAGCCGGTCCGACCGCGTGGGTTCGACCGTGACACGTGGACAAGACTAATATTTGAAAGACAGCCACGTGGATTTATCTCATCTTCTGTGGGACATTGACATGTTTTTTCCCTTCCTCCGTCTCAGTCTTCCATTTTACAACACAGGGTTTTTGTTTCTGACTTTTGTTTCATGTCACTTTTTTTGCAATTCCAACGGAATGTTCTCGACATGAAGTGGGTTCGTCAACGTTTTAGGACGCGTAAAGTGTGTTCAGTTAATTTCGGGTTTTTTTTTTATTTAGTTTCTTTCTTTCATTAACATTGTGCGACTTGGCCGAGCTCACTGGCCCGGGTCCCTTTACGCCCTTTCTGAGCAGAGTTGTCACGGGATAACGGCGGGAAATGAACTCTATGGAAGTTGTTGACGTTAAGACCACGCGCGAAATGGAATGCTCGTCAGTCAGGGTGCGAGACATCTTTGACATGTCCTCCTCATCCCTCTGCACATTTAGAACTGATGGGGTGTGTGTCCTGCTCCTATACTGGTCTGTGTGTGCGCGCGAGCGCGTGTTTACAGGTCGTTATGAGTCATTGGGGGTTAGTTGGTGTGGAAGTTAAAACTGTCAAACTGACTGACTGGACATTACAGGACATGTTCAAAAACGTGGGTGATCTCTGATGTCAGGATCTGGTTTGGGCTGAGGGTTTATTTGAGCTGGGTTAGGTCATGGCGGGGGGGCTACGGGATGCTTCATGTCGACACAACTTGATATAAGGGGGGGTCGATAGATAGATAGATAGATAGATAGATATGTGTGTGTAAACGATGACGTTGGGGGTCCCGTGTGACGTCCAAGTGGCACTTCATACACACACACACACACACACACACTCATTGTCCCACGTGTGCAACTTGTTCATTGCCAGGGTGTCCCCGTGTTTACACTCTCTCCTCGCCCCCGGGGCCACCTCCACTGTCTGTGGGACAGGCGTGTGTGAGAGATAAAAAAAATTAAAAAAAAACTTGTCTTTAAAGGAGTGGGTCTGCTTAGATGTTTGTTAACAGTAACAAGAAAAATAAACTTTGATAATTGGATATTTTCATCTGGACAAAAGACTTTGGGGAGAAACTTGGGCGCGACGTGGCAAATCCTCACCACGGTCTCAAATAAGAAACTAGAGGGAAAAACACACACATACAAACGGCTGGAATGCAACCTTGATATGAACGCCCTTGCTATGACAATGCTCCAAATGACTAGAGTAAATAAAAACAATATGATAACAAAAATAAAAACGCCGGGGATTAAAAAAGAAAAGCCCTAAATTTTTAAAATCGTAAAAATTCCAAGAGTGAAGCCGAGTTCCGAGGTCGACGTCTCGGCGCGGAGATTGCGCCCTCCACAAATGCTTTTTGGGGTAAGGGCTTCCCAGATTAACAGTTATGAACAGCAAGCCCAGACCGCAAAAAGATTCGTGAAGGACATGATCATCATCATCATCATCATCATCATCATCTGCTGATGCTACTGTTGTCCACCGGAGACTCCGTGACACCCCGGGAGTCTGCTCTCTTGCTCTTCCGTCAACGTATCTCCAATCCCCGGCTCGGTTGATTGCATCTCCAGCCCTTGGCAACCCGAGGCGAGTGAGTCCCTCCAACACGCGCACACACAGACACAGACACGCAAACACACTAGTAAAAGAGGAGGAGTAGGTGATATATGGAGGATGGAGAGGAGAAACAGAGAGATTGAAGGATGAGAGGGTTCTCCTGATGCAAAGACTGCCGCTGCCGCTGCCGCTGCAGCCCGGCGCTGTCCAAGGTCCTGACGCTCTCATTACCCACTTACTCCTCCAGTTTGAATTCTCCCCTATCCTTCACCACCGTCTCCCACTGCCTGTTTCTTTCCTTCCCCTTCCCTCTCTACCTGCCCTCTCTGGTTCTCCCTCTTGTTTCTCTCTGCTTCCTTTTCGATCTCTCTCTTTACTCTCGGATGTGCAAAGCCCGTGTGATCACTGAGAGCTGTGCATCGATGCGTTTTGTTGTCACTGTGCTCTCTCTCTCTCTCTCGCTCTCTCCCTCTCTCCCTCTCTCTATTTTCAGAAACTCACTCCCTCACTCTATATTTTTCTCACTCCACCAATGGCAGAAGCGCCTGCTCTGTGCAGCTCCAGCTCTGGATGAGAAGGGAAAGCAAGGATGTAGACTGCTGGCAATAAATAAAGAGCAGGGAGGAATCTCATTGGAGGAAACTGAACCTCGTCATCAACCAATCCTAGACGCGCTCATATCGGGACCCCCGTTTTTGAAAAAAAAAGAAAGAAAAAAAAAAGACAGTGCAAAATCACCAAATTGTGATCTTTACCAAAGGAAGGTGCGTTTTTATATGTGCTGAAATAAGTTTATGAACATTTGATTCCAATTGTTGTTAATATGCGCGCTGTTTTGCAATTGGGATGGTTTTACGTGGCTTTACGTGGTTCATATAGTGGTAAATAACACTGAATAAAAAAAACAACACGTCAGCATCTGAGATCACATATCAATGAGACCCGTTGGCCAAAAATGTTGGCCAAAAAGTGAAAACTACAATCAATCCAAACAAAACGCATTTTCTTCGTTCGGTTTGTTTTAAACCCTGCATCTCAGCAACATTTCAAGAAGAATCTTAGATCGTTTATCAAGTTTACTGGAGGCTGAACAAAAACACACGGTCTGGGACCTGAAACGATAGCCCGCAAGGACGAACGGGTTTAAAGTTCAAACCAAACATTACACACAGCGACACCGACAACAGGTCACTAAAAGTTTCACATCACAAAATCAAGTCAATTACGACAATAACTGTACTGGGAGTTTCAACGTTTAGTAGTTTAATAAATTAACATACTTTTATTTTTGACATTTATAAATGTAACGGTGGAAAAGTTTAAACTCACCTGTTGTTTTTTTTTTCCTCCTGCAACTTTGCCATTATTGTTTTACAGTAGCCAGAGCAGCGTCTACAAACTCTACTTCCTTTCTGGAGTTGCAACTTAGTGCATTCTATCGGGTCACGATTTGGATCCAGACCCCCTTCTATCGGTGCCCCTGTAGTTAGTAGCAGGTTGGTAATGGATTAAACACGCTGCCTTCCTCCTTCCTCCTTCCTCCTTCCTCCTTCCTCCTTCCTCCTTCCTCCTTCCTCCTTCCTCCGTCTTTCCCTCCCTTCCTCCGTGTACGTCTTCTTCCCTTCCTCTTCCTCCTCTCTCTCCACCCCACTATCACTGATCAAACTGTCTGCATTCGACTTGGCTCCCAGTCTACCAGCCAGCAGCGGGGATTGACTCGGGGAGATGGGGAGTGTTTATGAAAATGGTCATGGTGCGATACCCAGAACCAGAAGCCCCAGTAGGTCCCCTCGCCCCTTTTCTCCCCCCGCTATGTTTTCTTCTGCCCCCACCCCCACCGTTATGGGTTTTTTTTTTTTTTTTTTGGGTGGTCTTTTCGTTTGCAGCCCAGTCAGTCACGATTCTCCCCCACCGTCTGCACTGCATAGTGACTGCCTCTCCTGACGCAGCGAACGTGCACATCACTTATTTTAGCAGTCACGACTCGGGATTCCGCGCTGTTCAATCAAAATGATACGCTCGCTATTTAATTAATAAACACAATGTTTCCCCTCGACTCCGTTTTTACGCGTTTTGACCGTCGAAAGACGATAAATCTGCAGGTTTTTTGTGTGTGTGAGAGAGAGAGAGAGGAGGAGCAGGCGTGTGTCGTACAGGGGGATTCGAATCGAGATGTTCCACGAGACAGAGATGGAGGGACACGGGTTTTTCCTGTAAAATGTATGCGAAACTGAAGAGAGGTGGCACAGTCGTGCACCGTTCGGGTGGTGTCGGGGCTGGGAGGTGGAGTGGAGGTGGAGTGGAGGTGGAGTGGAGCCGGTCCGCGTCTCTGACACAGCTCTGCCTTCAAACTCCGAATGACCGGGTGTATATGTAGGGACACTCCATTCGCCTGTGGTTGTTGTGAGAGTTCCCCTTTTGCTACTCTTTGCAAATGTCACCTACAGTCGTACTTTTACCGTGACATTTGTTTGTCATATCAATGCAAATAAATGTCACTGATCCATTTCTGAACTGACAGCGACGGGAGGAAATGGCGGGACTGACATGAGTTAAGCCGAGTTAGTCCAACTGCTCTCTCTCTTTCTCTCCCTCGCTCTCTCTCATGCACACACACACATACACACACACTTTCTCCTCCAGCCTATAGCTTTCGATTAAATCCTTCAAACCAAACAGGCGGGAAAAGATGATGCTTATATTATGTTTGGTGCCAAAGTGTCACTTTCTTCGGCGCAGAGAGTTACGGAAAAAAAAAGAATCTGTCGTTATTTTGGTCAGTTCTTTTCCAGCTTCCCTTCTTTAGATAAGAAATGTCTACTGTTTAAAGAGAGAGCGAGAGAGAGAGAGTAGAAATGCCGACGTGATTTTCGAAAAAAAAAGAAAAAAAAGGAGAATACATTTGGCAGTTGAAAAAAACGACATCGTCACACACTGGCCTGAAACCCTGGGCATTCACATTTAAACATGCATCCATAAATTCACAGATCCACAGATGTGCACGAAGACACGACAGGCAAACAGCACCAGCAACAGCGCAATACCGCCACTTGGTGTGGTTTCAGCACTACTGCTGCTGGACAGCTCCTGGGTTTCCCCACGCTGGTTTTCGTGCTGCAGCAGAAACAACATCTCCTTCCCTTCACTCCTTCCCTCCTCCATCTCCTACTTTTGCTCCTTCACCGCTGCTCCTCTCTCAGCAGGACTCCTCTTTAAACACACACACACACACACACACACACACACACACACACAACAATCCACGTGCGTGTGCGTGTGTGTGTGTGTGTGTGTGTGTGTAGCAGTGAAACAGTGAGATGGGAGGAGGAGAAAAAATAAATAAATATGCGATAGATACTCAACAGCGCCAACAGACAAAGGGAGTTTTTGCACTTGATTTTTCACCCAAAAGGGGAGATTCCTACTCTGCAGGAAGGGTTGCTATGCTTCGGAGATAGTCAGACATGTCTGATAAAAAAAAATTAAAAAAAAAAACATTTCAGAAAAACGCATGCCAATGTTTTGTTGTTTGCATGAGACAGAGAGGATGAGGATGAGGAGGAGGAGGAGGCAGAACCCGGGGAAACACAGACAAGCATGGGGAACATGCAAAACAAACATAAAAAAGTGTGCACCAAATTAAAGACTGGATGTTCATGTCTCACTCACCATGGTGCAGGTTATTCGTGTCCTAATCTAGAGGAAGAAATGGAAGAGAGAAATATTTGAGATGTCAGTGAAAAGCAGCAACAAGAGTGTGGAAGGAATGCAACAGATTAGGTCCTCCATTTGTGGTTATGTGGGCTTACAATGGCACGTCCAAGTTTGTTGAGGATCGCCTCCCTTTTTATACAAGTGATACCCGGCTGTCTATTTCTGGCGCACGATCAAAACTATGTTGCTATTTTTAGGTCTCAGTTCGAGGAAGGGGAGAAGAAAAAAAAACACACTCACGAAAGGCTTCGCTTAGGAACGTTACGTGAAGTGCATGTGATGTAAATTAATTTTGCCTCTTCAACTCTGCACAAGAGCCTCGATTCCCCTCCGTTGCATCATTGCAGTGTTTTTTTCTTTTTTCTTTTAGAAGCCAGTGCGTCTCTACCAGCACCACCTTCACCTCCTTGCTTTCTCCCCAGCCTTAAATCACACTTTCCCTTCAACAACTCAAAACGTGGAAGCCGTCGTCGCTGCCAATATCATCGACCATATCTGATGTCTTGTCGCCCTCTTCGGCAGCATCTTGTACCAGTGTCACTTCAGCAGCTGAAACTCATGAAGGCTAAAAAAATCATAGCTTCACATTCTGATGAAGTCGGACTGAACGACGCTCCCATGTGGATTAAACTCTGCTCATTTCGGCGGCGGACAGACTGTAAAATGTAGTACTTATAGCTTTGATGACGAGAAGGAAAAGAAGAAAAAATAATAAATAAAAGAGGCCATTTTTTTGTTGAAGGGCTGCGTCAGTTACTAGGCATTGACGTCACGTTTAGATTCTCTCACTTTGCAGCCTGTAGGAGCTGATTAAAGATGCTTCCCTTCTGAGAGCCAGCTTTCAACAAATGCACAGAAAAGACGCCTGAAAAAATGTGACATATAACCATATGGGTGTGTAGGCTTTAGGAACGTAAAAACACACTCCTGTAATGCTCCAATATAGGACCGAACCCCCTCCCACCCGCGATTGTGTTTTGGTCTTGGGAACCAACCACTGCATCTTGAAGCTGTAAGAGGTAAACACTGTGAACCAAGCTTCTCCCTTCTCCTCCTTCTGCTGCTGCTCCTGCTTCTCTTTGCAATACATTTACTGGTCGTGCCTACAACAACCAGACCGTGATCATCCGACGTAATACACCCCGAGCACAAACAAACCTCTTTACTCTTTACTCTATGCATAACCACAGAATAAAACCTGCGCGAATATTCACGGGACTTTGTGAGAGCGGACAGGGAGCTCTTATGTGGCTGGAGTTGTTGGCTTAAACACAGAGTTGGTTTGAGGTTTCAGGGGCCAGTGCCAAAAAAGTCAGCTCTGAGAATTAAAGGAGCAGGGCTGTGCCCGTCTCATCGGTTTGTGCTATTTTTATCCCTGCCTGTAGACCAGATGTATGGCCTGGCCACTGTATGTGTGACACACCGAGCACTTAACAACAATGACAGTTTTATCCTCTGGTCATTTTAGCATCTATTAACCCTTACACTACTTGGAAATACCAACAAAGGTTAAAAAGAAAGAAATCAAAATGGACATGACGTGTGAGTGTGTGTGTGATGTACGATGTAGGGTGCAAACACACACACACACACACACACACACAACTATTTTTTCTTGGTTTTTATCATTTATTCAAACTGGGAGCAATGGTATCACTGGGAGTTTTGTCAAAGGTTCTTACACCTGCAGTGGGCCAAAACCGCCGCATGGTGTCGACAAACACAACTAGAGATCTCCCTCCTCACACATAAACGCCCTCCTCACCTTAAAAGACACTCCAGCAAGTTCAGTTTATATATATATATATATGTGTGTGTGTGTGTGTGTGTGTATCTCAACAACTGATTTTCTCCTGAAAAACATGGAGGACGTTGGTTCAAACCACAAACAAATGTCAAGAGATGAACTCAGACAAGCATCTCCACCGACATACTGGAAGTAAAACACTTTGAGAGCACACTTAACATTTAACAAAGTACGCCAACAACAACAACAAAAATACTTCGACGACGTCGTTTCACTTCTTTAAAGTTTACTCTTAACAGAAAAGAGTCACAGAATCCAGGTGTCGGAATGTGGAACATCTAATAACTAGTCACCAAAACAAATGAACAGACAACAGTGCATATAAACAACACAAAACTGTTGCCCTGTAACTGTATTCAAACGAGATGATCAGATGCTTCTACTGAACTCAAGTGATACGCTGTCCATGGTGCTGAACTCAGTTCTCCTTTAATTACACGTCCACATTCAGCAGAGGCTTTTATCCAAAGGGACTTACAAGACGGGGATTACCATGTGGATCATCTGGGAATCAAACCCAGGACTCTCTGCTTCCGAGGCAGGCGTGCTTACCGCTGCACCAGTGAACAGACATGGAACTGAATTATGTTCCGTAAACAAACTCACTGGTCTGTATTTTACACTTTGTACTCCACAAACTCTGGTCTCATCTAAGTGTCGTGTAGTGTCATTTACAGGCGTTTACTCGCTGCCTCGTAAAAGACGGGACGGTTTTTACAAATGGAGGACTGCATATTTCTACTTCTCTACAAAAAAGTTGTGTAAATGTGGAAAAGAAAAAGGGCAGAAAATGTCCCTCACCCTAACTTTACCTCTTGTTGCCACTCGTGGTTGTTACTAGGCATCTGTGGGCAGGCGGAATAAGAGGATTCCCAACCCGTGAATACTCCCACGCGTCACCATAACTTTAAAATACAGTCAGAAAATAATTCCAGTGTTGTATTTACAGCCTCGTCCTGAGATGGCATCACTTTCGCACAGCCAACCAGAGAGATTCTAACATATTAAAGTCGCTCAGTCTGTTCTAGTTTTTCATATGGAGTAAGTATGATATAATGTTTACTGATTCAGGGTCAGACATTTGGTCAAATATCAGTGACCATCAATAGAACGCGCGTTTTTTTTTTGTTTGTTTTTTTTTCAATGACAGTAAGTAACGTCTGGAAGGTGCCCCCTCCACTGCTCATGTGACTGTGACTCTCCTCATTCTTAAATGAAGCGCTGATCCTAGTCTCGAATATTCACGGTCCAACTGCAAACTTTACCCGTTTACAAAACACCGTCTGGATTAGAATACAGAAAAAGCACGTACCGTCGACACTTTCCCTCTTTATTTCCAAGTCTATTTCAAAGACGGACGTTGTGTAGCCTCAAACAGACAGACAGAGAGGGAGAGAGAGAGGGGGAGAGAGAGAGTAAAAAAGCAGGGCAGCCACGAGTCTCACCTTCTGCGTCAGGAGAATGGAGGGAGCGGGTCAGTCCGGCGCCGCGTCGACTGTCACTGCTGTCGGAGACTAAGACTGTTGTGGTATTTGCATTGAGGATTTCGGACACAGTTAGAATGATGTGCTCTTCTGGGTGAATAACGGTTGGAAAAGGTGGGTGGGTGAGGGAGGGAGGGAGGGAGAGAGAGAGGGAGAGGGTGACACAGTTACTAATGTAAGAAAAGGGCCCGCCAAATCAGGAGGATTTTTACGGATTTGGGGAGGCGCGCAACACGACTCACCTCATCCCCCCCCCCACTCCCTCTCTGTTTCTAAGTCATTGTGTGTGTGTGTAAACCGGAAGTGAGAGAAAGAAAGAAGAAAACATGAATGAGACAAGAAAAGCAGTACTGAGGATTTGATATTTATATTTTTAGAATTTTAGTCCAAAAGGAACCAACAAAAAATTTCGATTTTTTTTTTAATGGTTAAGAACCTGGAGGAGGAATGAAAGAAAAAGAAAAGAATAGTCTGGGAGTGGAGAAGCCGTTCCAGTGACATCACACAGGTGGCTTTGGAAGAGTCTCGGCAACGACACCCCTTTCTCTCCCTCCCTCCCTCCCTCCCTGCTTCCGTCCCTGCCTCCCTCTCTTCCTCCCTCCCTCCCTCCCTCCCTCTCTCACTCTCTGTTCCTCCTCTCCAGCAGAGTGGTATTGACCTGCATTGACGTCATTGCGTCATTAGGTATCCCTTAGAAACACTGACTTTCAAAAATAGTATCAAATTAATTCAGCTTGCAGAGAAGGGGGTGGTTCTGTGGATTTGTGAGTGTTTGGGTTTTAGATTGTGTGTGTATATTTTAGTGTGGGGGGGGCGGAGGGGGTTTGGGTCGCGTGATATGGGTGGGTATGGCGGACGGCATGTTTTACTCTCAGGTTTTCACCTCTTCAACAACCTCTCCTACTCTACCGCTGTTCTTGACCCAAACGGGGGGAAAGGAGAGACCACCATGATATCAGTTCCCTAAAGATGGAGTCTCAATGGAAGAGGCGACAACAGAAAAAAAATGAAAGCAACAGTTCCAATTTTCAAGTTCACAAGTCACAGAATACGACGAGCACGAGTGAAGGAAACTGACTTGAGTGATAATAGAAGAAGAGCAGCAGCTTTAGTAATCAGGTCAGATGGATTCATTCCTCTTATATTTTGTCTCTCTGTGGCTTAGTGTGTGGGTCTAAAAATATCAGCCAGCCTCCAGCTGACTATGCTGAAAACCTTTTAACCATTTAACCCACAGCTTTTGAAGCCTGGGGTTTCAGACCAACAGGTAGATTGACAGATAAACAGACACACAGACAGGCACGCAACAGCAGAGGAAGAGAAAGATGGGAGCAGATAGACAGTGTATGTAGGCAGACGTGCAGACAGGCACCAACAAGAGCATGGCTGGCAAACATATGAACGCAAACAGCCAGAGAAACCAGCCGTAGTATCAAGGCTGTGGTAGTAATGCACTCATCCAGAAAATGTCTGGAGTCTTTAGAGTGTTTTTAATATAAGATAGAATAGTAGCAGTAAAAAATTGACAATATTTAGATCTAATGTTTGTGGCAGATTTAACTAATGTCAACAAAAATACATGAATATACAATGAATCACCCTTTTCAATTGAGATACACATTTCAAATATGACAGGATGCTCTCATCACATGCCACCTTTCAGACTTTTGTTGTCAGAGCAGCAGGATGCTCTCATCACATGCCTGGGTGCCAGCACCACACCTTTCAGACTTTTGTTGTCAGAGCAGAACGCCAAACACACTATAAAAGGATGGGATTGTTTTGGGGAGGAGTGTGTGTGATCAACAAGAGAGAAGAAGACATTTCCACAGAGTCCAAACTTACAGCTGTCAGTCAAACCTCCTCTGGTTACTGTGAACAAATGTTGCCTTTGGTCAAATTAAGGAGGTTTTTTTTTGCATTATTTTTGGCCCCTAAGAGAAAATTGTGCAAAAGAAATGAAACCCAGTCACAGGGAAGACTTTTTTTTTTTAAATACAAGCATGGACAAGACAAAAGGAAGTAAAGAGGTGTTAAAGGTACAGTAGAAACTGTGAAACCGAGCAGTGTGTCTGCAGGACAGGGTGGGGGACACACATGGGCAGAAATGTATCACATGAGACGTCATCGCCACCAGTGAAAGTCACGCAGCATTCAGTGGTCAGTGCCAAACCTGACGACAGAGACCTAGAGCGGTCCTGGGTGTGACTAAGACACACCATGGAAAAAACAGTGTGCTGTCCTGCTTTCCTCCTCCATAATAACACAAACACATGAGTCAGTCAGTCTGTTAGAGCGGAAATGTTAGTCGTGATAACAAAATGAAAATAACGTTGCCTATTTTCCACCCGACTTTTTTCCAAAATCATGTCAATACAATAATACCTTTCGAAACATTTGCCTTGGATTTTTTTTTAACAAAGCCCCAATTTGGTGCGTCGCTCTGAATAAGTCCAGCTGCCTGCAAATGTTCCTCAGAACTAAGAACCACGGACAGTTCCCAAAAAACTATTAGAGCTGTATTGAAAATAGAGAGATAACGATTCCTAGGTCTAAACCAGCATCAAATCCTTNNNGGCGAGGGGGGGGCGGGGGGGGGGGGGGGGGGGGGGGGGCAGCTGATGCCTTTAACATACCTTGGTGAAAAACTGATTTATATTTCAGAGGAGATATCAAGGAGAAACAATGGCCTGACTTTGATTATTTTCTAAACTGACAGAAAGTCAATGCAAAGTCCTAACAGGAGTAGGTGAACACATCTGCAGTGTCTATGTAGGAGTGTGTGTGTGTGTGCGTTTGAGAGGGGGGGTGTGTACACACTGGTCCTTTTAATTTGTTTGATGTCTTCACCCATCTGTCCTTTCCATTCTAACTGGTAGGAGTCTTTCTAGGAAACAGTGGGTGTTTTTGGTTTCATGTTTACTGCTGGGGCCCTGAGGACAGGAGAGCATATCTGCACGAAGAGGGTCCTGTCCTCCAGGACAGCCCACCCCGTAACAGGACAATGTAGGTCTAATATGAACACGGTGTGAGTAGTTCTGTGTTATTTCGTTTTTGTTTAATGTCGTATAACGTTGTATTAATAACATCATAGGTGCGACACTTGGATCGACCTTTTCCTTGTCGTGAAACTGTTTCTGTTGAGCGTGTGTTCACATCATGGCCAGTTTTTGTTTGAATTTCAAGCCAAGATGAAGGACCCTGCGTGCCCTCCTCCTCCTCCCTCCCTCCTCCCTCCCCTCCCCCTATTTATTTTTCCATCTTTCCAGCCTAAATGATGTCAATGGAAGCGGAGCCACAGAGCTATTTATAGACCCTCACTCCACACACACACACACACACTCCACCACCACCACTGAGGTTTCCATATCCCTCTATATCGCCCTCCACAGGCGACATTCTCAACGTCATGGACACTTGGTTGGAAGGATCTGCCACAAACAATGGAGGATCTCGGGAGAAGAATGGAGCCACTGAATATTTATGAACAGCTCTGTTCTCATGTGTCCGTGCCACCAACACCACCTACAACTCTCTCCACTGTGCCAGTGTGTGTGTGAGTGTGTGTGTGTGTGTGATATTGCTCGTGCAGCAGCACTTCCCACTGTTTAGAAGGGGGGAAAAAGCCCTATTAATACGAGCTGGATCCACGTGCGCCCCCTATGTTCGCCTTCTTCCACTGCTGCTGCTACTCTTCATTCACTCACTCTGTGCAGTCACTCGTTCATTCATTACTTTCCTCCTGCGTTCACTCACTCATTCACACGGATCTTCCGGCAGAGCCTCTGAATGGAGGGGAAAACGGGATGAATGTGGGAATGACGCCTGTTCTCCAACTGTTGTATCCCATGAGATTTCCTCTGTGTCAAACACTGGTCGGCGTTTGAAAAGTGCACTTTAATTTGTGTTGGTGTGTGTGTGTGTGTGTGTGTGTGTGTTGTGATACGACGCCGCGTCAGAACATAGTGTTCTCTGCATGAGTTTCGCAAAAACTTAATCTCTCTGTCCCTCCCTCTTTCTCACACACACAAGCACACATACGACAATCACATGCTACTTACGTAACGTGTGTGCGTGTGCGTGTACGTGTACGTTTAAACCACTCACAAATAATGGCACGCTCTTCTGCACACTGCTCTTCAACGGAGAACTCATGTCATCTGTTTAAAAAAAAAAAAAGATTTCCTGCTATTTAGGAAAGGCGACCGTGATTAAAAATAAACCAACTCCCTCCCTTCTCCCCCTCTTCTTCCCTCCCATCCTGCACCCCCCAACTCCACACTCAAAAATTCCAAACCTGTCCTTAATTACACACAGTCATCTGGTGACATTCGGTAAATGCAGGTGATTGCGATGACGTTTTTACAGCTTTAAGGTTTGTTTAAAACAGAATGGTGTGTTAATGGGTTTAAGGTAAAGAATTTTAAAATAGTAACAAGAATGAACGAGATTACATTAGAATTCCCTGAATATTTTCACACTGCTCTTAAATAAAGTATTTGCAAAGGTGAACAATGGACTGTAACGATTAAAATCAGATTGAGTTTTTATATATATAGCTGCTGCTGCTGCTGCTGCTGCTGTAGAAGACTCTGCGTATAGACATGCAGCGCGCTCGCGTCCGG